CACACAATCACCATCACCATTGATACTGTGAGGTGAAAACTGTTGTGCCTTAATTGTTTGGCATGCATGTCCTATAGGGTTATCTACTTGGTCTGCAAGTCTATGTATTGATTGACCTATAAGGTTGAGGGCATTCGAGTGCAGCAAGGATGCTACTAAGGCCCCAAATGTTAGGCATGCATTTGCTACAGATGCGCACGTACGTTATTAGACACCGGTCTTGTTTAAGCGCAGAGTTGGTGCAGAAACACCAAAGATTTTCAGAGTGCAATTAGGACACCAAGAGAATAAAACAGCTGCTTTATTCAACATACCTAGACAGTGGACTCCAGCCCTTTCTCTCCTACCACAGTTATGGGTGTCTTTATGTGGACAATCAAACAACGACGACTCGTTACCCGTACACTGTACATCATCTAGCCAGTATTGCACTTCTTCATCATCTTGGAATCTTCCCCCTTGATATGCTTCAGCAGCTGAATAAAGTAGAAATCAAGAATAATATCCATTTAACTTTCCCTTTTAACCCTCGCACTTATGTGCAGTGATGGTAATACTAAAGTCATTCTGTCAAAGGTCTGTTGCCCCGTTTTCTGCCACCACACACAACAACTGCCTATCACTTGAAAATTACGTCCTGAATCGTGTTTACGTTATGTTGACTTTGCTCATGCAGTGTTTACTACAGAGAGTAGGACTCTGTTAGACGGTTCAAGCGCTACGAGCAAAAATAAGTGAAGCCAGCTACCAAGGAGTCTCAAGATTCCATTTCCTTACATTCCCGTTCCTTAAAAGCAGGTTACTGCTCAGCCAGACTGCTGCACACAGCTAAATATAGATACAAGCTTTATAGCTCTCGAAGATAATTAAGACTGGTGGTATTCACACAGAAACGAAGCCAGAAATTGGTTAAGATCACGATCCCTCAAAGTTCGCACACATGCTGGACAACAATCTACCATACACTACTATCAAGAATGCTTTTGCAGAGATGGGCTCGCTTTGCAGCAGTCACACATTCTGGCTGACGAAGCAAGCAAATTGCAGTGGAAATGCATTCATATTACATATTGAATCTGAGAGCTCAAGTGATTATTATACAGGTGCAATAATATGCATACCATAAGGCAAGAGTCCCAGTTGTCGACAGGCTACCATTGCATCATCATCGGTCCAATAATCATCACAAACTGATCTCCATTCACAATTGCGAAGTACCTCAACCAGGCCAGACGTTTCATTACCATGAACAAGACGAATTCCCATATTTGCGTCTGAAACTAAGAAATGTAAATGGCTGAAGCACCAAAAAATAAAGAAAAGGCCCAAAAATTACATAACACAATAGTTAGAAATTGAGGTCGTGAAGTTGATACGTGTTAGAGCCCGTTGCGTTATGGCATTCCTTCGATTTAGAATTTACACGCACTTGTTTTTGCATGCACGGGTTGTGCAGGGAAATGGCGCCGCGATCACTTGACCTCGATGTGAGTAACCTCTGGATTTAGTAAACACGTTTTCATGTGTGAGTGTGTACTAAGATATTAATAACCCTTTGGGCGCCATAGGTGTCTCCTTAAATAAGCAGAAATTGATGTATAACCATATTAGCGCCTAGTATTATAGCCATATATAAATTCTTATGCACTTATGGAGGCTCTGTGCATATATATATGTAAATGGCGCCCAAAGGGTTTTAATAGCAAACCGAGCCTACGTAATTGTTCCTTCAGCTTATACATATAATATGATGCACCATACACCATGTTAGTGTGCATGCACTGGGATAAAGATTTTTGCGGATTATTTTTGATGTCGTTCTTTTAACACTTGAAGCACATAAATATGGTTGCGTAATTAACAGCAAAGGCTCACCAGTGCAATATCTTCCATCACCACAGTAACCTTCTCTGCATGTGCATATGTAACTGCCTTCTGTATTAGTACAGTTAGCATTTTCGTCACAATCGTCCAAACCACATTCACACTCATCTTTGTCTGCACAGGAAAAAATTGCATATATATAGTTACCAACAGAACGGCCATAAGATTTTGTTACCTCTACAAGTCTGCTCTTCCCCAAAGAAGTATCCAGGGTTGCACATGCAGTAGAAACTTCCTTCTGTATTTGTACACGTGGAATTTTCCGTACAGGACACATTCATAGCACATTCATCAATATCTGTGTATTGAAACGAGGAACATCATTAAACAAGCCATCATGGAACCCCTGATACCTTTGCAACCAGTTTCATCTTTAGTGTAGCCGTCATTGCATTCACAAGTAAAATTTCCATCTTGTGTACATTTAGTCCTTCCAAGACAGACATTAGCTGTGGTACAAAACGAAATGTACATCCTTTTAATGCAGATTATATACCCTCGGCACACATGTACAGTGAGTGTTACAGTACTGGGTCAGCTGGTCTCGTGGTCTGTCTGTCTGTTTGTCCTTCTGTCAGTCTGTTCTCGTATTTTCTGCTACCGCACGCAACAAGGCAGGAAAACAAGAGGTACATACACTTTGGGTGTGATATGAACATGGGGAAGAATATATAATACCCCATGAGGTGTACACACACAGTAGTAATTTTCTTTGTTGTTTAACCCAACCTTGTGACGGCCGTGAGTAAAATTTTCATCCATAGTTTGCTTATTCAGTATCCCTACATACAAATAGTGAAAGCGTACTTGAACAGATAACTGTAACAGCCTCAGCAAGGGTGCAGTCATGTTCTCCAATGTTATTATGTGCACAGTTATCCAAACGCCCTTCATCTCCCGTACAATTCACTTCATCCAACCAGAATATCCCATCTCTCACATTTGGACAAATTTTACCTTTCTCTAAGGAGGTTAAGAGGACATGTAACTATAAGGTTGCTAATTATACACTGACTCACCTCCACTCTCAAAACAAAATTGCTTACAGACAACTTGGACATTATTGTCATTTGCTCCCCACTGGTCATCACAGACCAGTCCCCAGGTGGAGTTATAGCATATTTCAACTAGCCTTTCATTCACACCAACCATTTCTATTAAATGGATTTCTCCATCCTCACATCCTGTAGAAAAACACAATTATTGCTTGGGTGAAGGAGTTAGCCAATGCACTCATAATGCCACACAATTTCATATGGCAATAACGAGTGCAAAACACATTCCAAATGGGATACTGGAATGGCTCAAAGCGCAACAAAAAAGAAAGAAACAAGGTGCACTACTGTTTGCACACTACACTATTGGAGACCTTTCTATATTATAATATTATCTTGAACATAATTATTCCATGCTTATGCTCTGTTATAAACCCACCTTACATCCCTGTTTCATTCATGTTGTAGATATCAACTTGTGGTGTGGATAGCTATTATGCTTCATGCATTCATGACTACCAAAGGAGAAACAAAGGTGTAGGGGTGGAGTTATGGATGACCTGTCTTCAATTAGGCATCTTCTTGTTTCCCTTGTTTTTCAAACCTTTTTTCTCCGCTTGTATCGAAACTAACCTTGGCATTGGTCAGTGACATCTTCATCGTCAATAAACCATGTCACACTGCAGTCACCCAAATCAACCACACATATAGCTTCCACCAGTCCAGGGCAAGTAGCATCAACACAAGGGTTTGTTTCGCAGACTGATTCTGAGCATCCTACAGGACAAACGATGAATGCACAATATATTTCTTGTGTGTTAGAACTCGCATTATTCAAATTCTGTCGCGTTTCTTGCTAGCTCGCTGAGAGTCTGACAAGGCCATATAGGCAGACAGCTATTTTTTGCGGGACTCGATATTCACCGTTGTAACTTTCTGATGTCTCCACAGTGCACAGCACCGGGGGATTGTAAGTCAAGCCACGCGTATATGCACCCAGCTACACAACAAGCGCGTCGAGGAACAGTGTAGTAATTACAACTCTTTACTGTCTATGTAGCAGGAAAGGGCACACAGGTAGACAAAGGTATATTACATGCATGTTTATAGTGTATGTGTACCCTGCAACAAAAATGGACACAGTTGGGAACTGAAAAGGAACCAATAAAGCCACAGGTCTTCACCACATTTATTTTGTGATTGCCTGCAAAATTTGTCACTAGACATTAATACAGAAATATTTACCCCGACTACACGAAATCCCATCGCCAATGTATCCTTCTTTGCATGTACATGAGTAACAGCCAGGGGTGTTAGTGCAGAAAGCATATGCTGAGCAATTGTCCATCTTCAATTCACATTCGTCCATATCTGCATTGAAAATGAAAGTAAGTATGTAGCACCACATAAACTAAAGAACATCTCTTACCGTAACAATAGGTACCATTTCCACTATAGCCAGTTATGCATGTGCAAGTATACCTGCCATCAGATCCCATACACATGGCATTATCACCACACAAACGTATGTCCGTGTCACATGGATTATCAATGTCTGCATGGAAGGAACACATGATTGATTACTGTGTAAGACTAGGAGGTGCAATTTGGTCTGTGTATACATTTAGCTTCTAGGATACTTGGAGTTGAAACAGATCAGCAGCATTTGGGCACAGTCCTGAGACCAAACTGGGAGGGCACCAGACCTGACAATGGACACAGATGGCTGCTGGTGCTGCAATATCTCTCCAGACAAAGGCTGTATCAAAACCATAGCTGGCTTCCTTGTCAGGCAGGACAAGCGATGACATGTTTGATTGTGCTATTCAAATTCTGATTGTCACGACTAGTCTCATCAACCACTGCTGTGTATATACCTCACTACAATTTTCCCTATACAGATACTGATGAGTGTGCAGAAGACAGTCACATCTGTGATGAAAATGCAACTTGCATCAATACTATTGGCACTTTCAAGTGCGAGTGCAATAATGGATATATTGGTGATGGGAAGACTTGTGAAGGTAACATAGCTACAGGGTAAAACATGAGCAAAGTGTACTGGCACCCAGTGTCCTGCTCTTATGTAATGTCTTGTGTATTTGTGTATGTATGGGGTTTGTAAATAATTATGGTGGTGGGGGTTTTCATTTATTTCTCTATCTATCTATATATCTCTCCCCATGGCTGGTATACTATGCTCTATAGAGTGTTGTGGGTTCGAATCCCACCTAGGGCAGCTATTATTTTTCAAAAAAGAGCTTCCTGGGTGTAGTTGATTTGTTTGTTGTGCTTTTGCCTTTTCACATGCAATACATTCCATTCCACAAGTATTATTATGGTATCTGCTACCTGGCATTTGTTTCAACAAGGCCCTTTACGAATTGCCTCAAAAAAGTAGCGCCACAACAGTTTCACCATTTAAGGTGTCAGAGAAGAGCGAAAATGCTAATGAGATTTGATACATCATGGAAGGATCACTAAGTACGGTACCTAGAAAATAGACTTGTGGGGAGTTCTCTTTCTTCTACTTCCGATTCAACACTCATAACTCAAAAAACAACATAGCATAATTATTATAGTAATGGCATTTTGTAAGAATGTAGAGATATCTGGAGACTGGTCATATATACCTAACAAAGTGATAAAAACTAATAGAGGGCTGAAGCCCGTAAACCGTTTGTTGGTATATGCCAAAGCCTCCAACTAAACTTTACGGTCATCCGTGCACGTATTTTGCGTAACTTTTCTGTAGCGCGCTTGAACCCCCCGCTTGTCGTTATACTTGCCACGCCTTCTCGAGCGCGCTTCTCCTCCGTATTTTTCCCGTAAAAGGTGTTCGAATTACGGATGAGTTGGAGGCAATTTTTTCCCGTGAACTTGGTTTGGACGACTGTGACGAAAATGCTAACTGTACTAATACATGTCTTGTGTATTTGTGTATGTATGGGGTTTGTAAATATGGCGGTGGGGGTTTTCATTTATTTCCCTATCTATCTATCTATATATCTCTCCCTATGGCTGGTATATATGCTATGCTCGTGCAGAGTGTTGTGCGCTCTGTAAGGCTCGCGTAACACCGCGCAAATCACATTAACGAGTGTTGGTGCGGCTAGGCAGGCTGAGCACCAATGCCCTGGTCACATCCTTGACTAGGCCTATATCACACCTGGCCAACTGGGATGCAAGAGCTGTGCCCTTGCCATCCTTCACTTTGTTTCCACCCTGTGCGCCCTGCCAGTTTGGTGTTAGGACTACTGCAGTTACCTTCATAGCTTTTAACTCCTACGAGTAAACAGATGATGAGAAAGGCGGTGAAGCTGAAAGTCATCTTGCAACACTTGAACTCCTCCATCCATGCGCCGCGCCACCCGATCCTTACACGTAATGCACGACGTTTACGAGGCGCCGTTTGTTCCAAAAGCTAATTCTCCAAAAATGCATAGGTAGCTAATATGTCCACTATATATAAATTTGCTGCAATATTTAGGATATGTAGCTACGACGACATTTATAAATTGACCATGACATTTATAAATCGACCATGACATTTATAAATCGACCAGAGAATGAAGCTGCGGGGGTGGCGTGCGGGTGTGGCGCAGCTAGTGCTGACACGATTCCACACGCTTGCCAACAGCGACTTATTGAACTTCATAAATTAGAAGCACGATCAAGGGAAGAAATACAGCAGATGAGTCGATGTTTACAACACTAAATTGAATCATATGAGATCTAATTCTCCATTGTATCCTGGGGACAGGGCTTTGTCCATTCTCAGATGTCAGGAGTTAAACTTGTACCTTTGAACGTAGCAGATTTGTAAATGAAGTATATACTGATCCAAGCTTATTGGTCAACTAGCCGTGATCAAGCTGAAGTTATATAGTTTACTCTCTGCAAGAAGATGTTGCAAGCAGGAACTCTGTGCTCCACTATATACAGCCTCTTGATGTAGTCAGTGTGCAAGTGCCAACCCTTCATGACAGGAGTCTCAGCAGCAATGACTCTTCCGCTAACACATACGTGGATTCAGAATCATCTTCAGATATACTTCAGACTCAGTGTGATTCATATTTTAATAATCAGTATAATACATACATCAAACATTGAGAGTACCAACTAGCTATGACGACCTGGTGTCTTCGTTATTCTGACCTTGCTCGTATGAAATGCAGAGTTGTTGGTCTTCCTCAGGGCCTCTCATTAAAGCAACCTGCCATATACACTGCCCCTGAATTGCGGCAAATACAAAACAACAAGGAAAATGTTCTCGTGTGTTCTCGATCTGGGTTGATATGAATAAACTGAACATTTTCCTTGTTGTTTTGTATTTGCCGCAATTCAGGGGCAGTGTATATGGCAGCGCAATTCAGGGGCAGTGTAGCTATATGGCAGGTTGCTTTAATGAGAGGCCCTGAGAAAGACCAACAACTCTGCATTTCATACGAGCAAGGTCAGAATAACGAATCCTCCCTTCACCTGAAGAAGCATCTAAAATGGATGCAGTAAGGTCTTGTTTAAGAGACCACTTAATATACTTTTTACTCCATGCTAACTTCTGCAAGAATCCATCACACTCACGCTTTTCCTCTTTCTCCTGCTTTTCTGTATGTAGCTAACTCACACCTGAGGGTTGGAGGAGTATAATTATTATTGTCACATGCTCAAACTGAAACAAACCACACATACATCGGAAAAAGTTGTGATCAACGCCCTCTCCTATATCTTCTTCAGCTGCAATAAAGTCCCTCTGTCGTTTGTGAACTACAAATAACTTTACACTCAGTTGTAGATTGGTTAAGAATCACTCCATAATTATGCCTCTATATACTCCAAGCTCTGACAGTGTTTTAAACTGTGTGTCATGAGAGGCTTCAAAAGTGTAATGAAACACTATAGATGCTTACATTTTGCTCAGTTAAGGTAATAAGCTCCTTGATAACTTTCTCCTTCTTTTGTTCTGAGTAACCTTTCAGTGTTTACTACAGACAGTAGACTCTATTAGACGGTTCAAGCACTACGAGCAAAAATAAGTGAAACCAGCAACCAAAGAGTCTCAAGATTCCATTTCCTTACATTCCCGTTCCTTAAAAACAGGTTACTGCTTACTTGTATTCTGCCAGACTGCTGCACACAGCTAAATATAGATACAAGCTTTATAGCTCTCAAGATAATTAAGACTGGCGGTATTCACACAGAAACGAAGCCAGAAATTGGTTAAGATCACGCTCCCTCAAAGTTCGCACACATGCTGGACAACAATCTACCATACACTACTGTCAAGAGTGCTTTTGCAGAGATGGGCTCGCTTTGCAGCAGTCACACATTCTGGCTGACGAAGCAAGCAAATTGCAGTGGAAATGCATTCACATTACATGTTGAATCTGAGAGCTCATGTGATTATTATACAGGTGCAATAATATACATGCCAAGCATACCATAAGGCAAGAATCCCAGTTGTCCACTGGCTACCCACAAACTGATCTCCATTCACAATTGCGAAGTACCTCAACCAGGCCAGACGTTTCATTACCATCAACAGAACGAATACCCATACTTGTGTCTGAAACTAAGAAAAAATATCAAATGAAATGGGATGTCTGAAGCACCAAACAATAAAGGAAAGGCCCAAATTACATAATTAGAGATTTAGGTCGTCAAGTCGATACGTGTTAGAGCCCGAGGGCCTTGCATTATGGCGTTCCAAGTGCAGTTAAGTGAAAGGCTCAAGGGCTTCCATTTAGAATTTACACGCACTTGTTTTTGCGTGCACGGGTTGTGCAGGGAAATGGCGCCGCAATCACTTGACCTCGATGTGAGTAACTTCTGGATTTAGTAAACACGTTTTCATGTGTGAGTGTGTACTAAGATAATAATAGCAAACCGAGCGTACGTAATTGTTCCTTCAGTTACTCCACGGGCTTATTATAACTCTTCGTTTTTGCCGTTAATGTCAGTCAGTGGCTGTTCTTTGTTGAAAACTGTGTCGAGCTGCAAGCTGTGTGTGTGTATCTGCGTTGAACGTATATTGAGTCTGGGCAGTGCCACCAAGAAAAAGGCTCGGGTGAGTGGGTAGAGTTCACCGGTGGTCAAAGATTTCTTTAACCCACAACCCCTGGTTCTCAAGGCCAGGGCACCCACAATGCCTAAACCATGCTAGCTGGTTCTCTAGTGGTACTGCCCTACATTTCTACATTTGACGATACAGCTATTTTTGGATGCTAAGATATTTTATATGTCTCACTACTATCCTTTTGATACGGTTTCTATCGTCTGTCATTCGAATTTAGTCATGCATGTCTGACTCATCATGCTACCACTCTGTACTAGCTCGCACGTGCACATGTAAGTTGATTTGCTAGCCCTTAGTTTGAATTTGTGTTTTGTCTCTGTAGATGTCAAGTGAAGCCCCAGCAGCCCTTCTCACACTTCTTTCTCTTCCTTCTTTCTATGTGTAGTATGTAAGTAGCGTGAGCTGTTATTTGACATATAATATGATGCGCCATGCACCATGTTAGTGTGCATGCACTGAGATAAAGATTTTGCGGATTAGTTTGGTGTAAGTAGTAGGGGACATGCAACTTCCCATCATTTAGCCCCTTTTGATCCTAGTTCTCATGCTCAGAACACTAACAAACAGGCTTCTGCAGGGACCACAAACATTGCCAGGAGTTTGTTACTAGCTCCGGAGGCCACATGTCGAGGTTGGCAAATCACATTAACGAGTGTTGGTGCGGCTAGGGAGGCTGAACACCAATATGTGGTCAGCATGGCACAGGCAGAGGTTTCCAGCAGTCATGCGTACAGTGATAATCACACCCTTGACTATCACTCGGCCAAATGGGATGAAAGAAGCTGTGCTCCTTGCCAGTTAGTGTGCATGCACTGAGATAAAGATTTTGCGGATTAGTTTGGTGTAAGTAGTAGGGGACATGCAACTTCCCATCATTTAGCCCCCTTCGATCCTAGTTCTCAGCACACTAACAAACTGGCTTCTGCAGCGACCACAAACATTGCCAGGAATTTGTTACTAGCTCCAGAGGCCACATGTCGAGGTTAATTTGTAGGCAAATCACATTAACAAGTGTTGGTGCAGCTAGCGAGGCTGAACACCAATACGTGGTCACAATGGCACAGGCAGAGGTTTCAGCAGTCATTCGAATTACGTAAATTACGGGTAAATCCGTTGAGTTGGAGGCTCTGATATGCAATTCCCGTGCAGACAAAGATGAGTGTGAACTTGGTTTGGACGACTGTGATAAAAATGCTAACTGTACTAATATGGATGGCAATTTAGATATGCACATGCAGAGAAGGCTACTGCGGTGATGGAGCACTGGTGAGCTTTGTGTTGTGAATTACTCAAATTCTCCATGAGATTATGTGCTTAAAGAACGACACCAAAATAATCCGCAAAATCTTCATCTCAGGGCATGAACATTAAAGTGGAAAAATCAACAAACAAACAATAAAGGCCCATTTGAGCGCTCTGTAAGGCTCGCGTAACACCGCGCAAATCACATTAACGAGTGTTGGTGCGGCTAGGCAGGCTGAGCACCAATGCCCTGGTCAGCATGGCACAGGCAGAGGTTTCAGCAGTCATACGTACAGTGATAATCACATCCTCGACTATCAGACTCGGGCCAACTGGGATGCAAGAGCTGTGCCCTTGCCATCCTCCACTTTGCCTGTGCGCCCTGCCAGTTTGGTGGTAGGAATTGTCAATGCAGTTACCTTCATAGCCTTTAACTCCTACGAGTAAACAGATGATGATCATGAGAAAGGCGGTGAAGTTGAAACAACACTTGAAGTCCTCCATCCGCCATGCGCATACGAATCCCGCACGCATGCGCAAAACGCGTAGCCGAGCTCTAGAGCCACACCTATATTATAATGCGAGAGTGGGTGCTTCCTTGATCGATGGACGCATTCGCAAATTTGTAAAATTCTGTGTTAGTTTAGAAACGGAGGACAGTGATCAACTCCATTCTCCGTGCCAGCACTGCCGCTGTGCTGTCACAGGGTAGAAAAATGTGGGAAAAGCCACACATTGTTGGTAAACTGGGTAAAAGATTATCATTCTTCTAGAGTTCCTGGTGTAGATGGTGGAATGTAGATAAATGAGTGCTGAGACGTGCATATAGGACATCCCCATTAGCATTCAGTCCATGACCATTCACATTACTGGTCAGCGTATGGCTGCACTATGAACTGCTCACTACAAATAGATTCACAGTAGGTCAGTAAGAATAAGCTATATATAGCAAAATTTATTGGATGTGTAATGCAATAACAAACATGTGTTGAGGTGAACCACCTGCGAACGAACAAAGACAATCGTCCCTATATAGGCTTTCCTGATAATTTGGTGGTGTTTGACTGGCGGGGCTGTGTATCATAGCACGAGAGTGGAGTGTCTCACCTTCAGAGTAAACCCTTACGTGCCATGCACTCACTACAAACGTGTGACTAGCTACTCACACATGCATGTCGGATGAGGTCGAATGTCAGCCGTTGGTCAGCATAGCATGCGCATGGGTGTGTCAACCAGCCACAACACACTATCAAACTTCATACATTTTTCGGTGCTCTATATGCAAAAAAAGGAGGAGATCTGATCATACACAAAAGAAACATCTCGTATTCAATAAGTATATATAGGAGTAATGGTCTACTCTTCTTCTTTTTCTTGGCAGAGAGCGCCAGCGATCCTGTCATTCTTTCCTCGAGGTCTTATAATTGGGGGATACTCAATACACTCTGAGTAGAATGATTCAGTTCCAACGCATTCACAGCCATCTGTCACATTTTGCCCATTTAAGGGCAAAACTTCACCTTCGTTAAAATACACTGCTACTGCGTCTAAGGAAAAATCCAAACTGATTCATTAACTTATTGTGGGTTACAAGTCTTACCAGTAAAAGGCAATTTAAGCTGCTTACAGGCAACAGTTGCATCTGCCTTTGTCCAGTTGGAGTCACACACTCTGTGCCACCTATTATGTACGCACACTTCAATAGGACCAAGAAATTGGTCATTAGCAACGATTTTCATGACAATGTCGTTCTCCTCACACTCTGCAAAAAATCAGCGGATATCATAGCATCAGTAGATAACCGTAAAGGGGTTGGCATGCAGGTAAAGTCTATAGTGCTCACGTACAGAGGCACACAAAACAGCAGAATCCTATACTTTCGCATGCCTAAAACATTTATGGTATCATTATCTGCTGTTTAATAACCACCCTTTATCCTCTCGCTTTGAGCTCTCCCTATAATATACAATTTCTCCACTAGAGCAGTGATAGGACAAAACAAAGACGCCCAACAAAATGACAAAACTAAGGCATAAAAAGTTGTGGTGTTGAAAGACCTTCTGTATCAGTGTACATATTATTATCTCCCTGGTGTATTTGTGTTCACAAAGTGATCTCATTACCATTTGCAGAAAAATAACAAACTTTTACTCACCAAATACAGGCATTAGTTTTCCCACATAGAGCTTCGCCTTCGACATTGATAAAAAAAGAGTTATTCAGCAAAGCTTGCAATGTAACTTCGTTTGTTCTGTTTTCCAGAACTCTCTTCCTCCCACTCCCGTCCAGTGATCCAAACCGTTGAGTGTAGTCACCTGCAGCACACTCAGCTCTAAAGAAAGAATCATTTATGAACTGCCAGCAGACTTACGAAGATGTTTTAATTATGCTCCCTAAAATATGTTGTAGATTATTGTTAACACAATGTTAGAGCCCTCAAAAGGGAGCAAAAAACTAAAAATATGGGGAGGCAGCATTTTCTGTGTGTGGCCAACCATGCCCACTGTATGTGCGACTAACAGTGTTGCTTCCATTGACAGTCTTGAAGGAGTAAAGCAAAGGGGCAAGATAGAAAAGCACTGAAGTGCAAACCCTCGGCCCACGGCACATGTGCGGTACCGCTACTTGATGGGCTGGGCTATGAGTATGCTTTTACTCGTGGTCTCCACACTAGTAGCTCACAGAGGTTCTGACGTGGGCTAGCTACACTAGTAGACGGGAGTCGATACATCTCCTTCGTTGGGACTTATTGTGCCCCTAAAGCACACAGAGCAAGAGGATCAGGATAAGGTAAGCTACGTAGTGCGATTATGCATATTGGCTTTTCACTTGTTTTCACGGTAGCTATATCTCTGGAGTACACCAAAATCACCATTATATATTTCAGGTTCGCATAGTTCTGAAGCCGTTGGTATTGCTGTTAGTCCGCCTCGTAGCCTGTAGTGCGAGAATAGCTGCAGACAGACACACATACAGACCAAGTACCGTAACCCTCGCTGCGCATGGGCACCAAGGGTTAATACAGCTTAACAGAAAACTGTCGAGTCACATGATAAAGGGATGTCACCAGATTGAACATGCTATGCATGAGTATGGACCAAAGGCTTTTTGGCCCTTTGAAATATTGACTACAGTAACCCCCAATGTGTATGTGCATCGAAGGTTAAAGGAAAGACGAACACTTACTTTATAGGGGAGTTTTTGCAGTGCTTATCATAGTTGCAGTTTTCCAAAAACCCAGCTGGATCAAAGGGTATCTCTGTGCATGCATCATCGTTGATTCCCCAATCATACCTTTCTGTGGCTACAACGAATTGAGAGAGTTATGAAGTGAATGTAACGAAGTATACACATGAATATACAGATACACACATGTACAATAGTACACTGGCAAGACAAGCCTACTCGTTATTTCTGTTCTCACTCTAATGTGAAAAAACAGAAATCAGTAGGTATCACGCTAAACAAAAGCAGTTGTTGACTTTACTTTATAATTTATGATGTGTCTTCCACAGTGCAAGAAAAACAGGAAAAACAGAGCACGCTAAATACTTATTCAAAACTCCATAAAGGAAAGGTAAAGGTCAAATTTAATGTAATGTGTTTCCAAAAGTTGTTCAGAACCTGGTAACAATACTAAAGGGATTACTATACTTTCACTTCTCCATGCCCGAATTCACTCCAACAATTTCTATATAAATAATGTCAGCGCAATGCTGCACTTACAAATGGCTCTCTATAACAACTGAGGAAATTTGTGGGGTTTGAATGACTTTCCGTCTCCCTTACTTTCATGCAATTTTCCTCTTGGATTTTCCAATACTGGGACCTGTCATTAGTGACGTGTCATAGCTGTTTTAGAGTGGTGACCTCGGGTTGTACATTTGGAAGTGTATAACAATGTACACTCTGAAAACCTTTCAGTCCCAGTATGTCGACCTCCACGGTGATCGTTCCATTGCCTTCAAGATCAAATTCAATCAGGCCACAGATATCTCCTACTTCAACTGTAGCAACAGCTCCTATTGCATAATCTGGGACAGAAAACAAAATCTGCTATATAGGAGAGTGTGTAGCGATGTGGGCCTAAAGAGCACATACATGTACATGTACATGCCCAGATTGGATGTGGACACAGACACACACGTTTGTTTTTAAACATGAGCCATAGGGAACCCAGCCGAACCACTCATGCAGTGTTTTACTCCAAGCATAGCAAGCCCTAAATGCCCGTGCTGCGTAGTATGTATTTTCAGTAAAATTGGCATAGAGAATAAGTCCCTAAGGACTACCTTGACAGTACTCTAAAGACTTACCTATTTGTTTGAGACCTTCGTTAGAGAATGGACCATGTGCTGTCCCGCCTGGGTAGGTTCAAGTACAAACCTTTGCTCGGTGCCATTGCCTGGATATGATGAATGCACACAGAGTTCAGCACTCAGTGATACTAGATAAACTCACATATGACAGCCGCTATCTCATGCTGTGCACAGTTGTGAACACCCAGACGTTCATGCTCACAGTCCATCAAGCCGTTTTCTTCTCCAGTACATTGAATATCATCAAGCCAGTAATGTACTTGATTGATATCAATATCAAAATGATAATGAAAAGAAGTTATAGCAGTGTCTGTAGAAAAATCAGAGAGTAAACATCGAGTACGTTATGTTAAACAGCATGGCAGGTATTCTGCATGCTATCTCACTCATAATTGTACATAAGTGTCTCATTTAGTTCATTTCTGCAATATCTTGACCATTTTATGGGTGAAGTAGACCGTTCACTCACACATGTTTACAGCAGCATGATGCAACTTGAACATGAGCTAGGCTTTGTTAACTAGGCTTCTAGGTAGGGCTTGCCCCATACAAAAATATCCCAATGTTCGATGGAAATAAGGATCCGGCAGATATTTAAAAAGAAAGGAGGCAATGTGTTGGATACCCCATCTTTTTCTTTTACGGTGTAGATTCTTTCGCTTGTTTTAATTACATCTATCTTCCATTTTTGTAGAGGCACTCTGGATGATTTATGAGGAACCGGTGAGCAAATCTCTTCTGCTGTGTACTGTAATGTGTATGTAAGAACTACGCATCAGGTCGGGATAATTGTACTCAATAGCTATATTGACCTTTCTTGAAACTTTGTAGAGTCAATTGCCCATTTCAGAGATACAAGTACACGAAGTTGCAGAAACAGGGATTTTGTAGGCACAAACATAATGTTCCGTATACTCACTCTGGTACACACAGTTATGTTCAGCTTGCTGACAATCGTGTACGGATAGTTTTTGAAACTTTATAAGGCGGGATACATCATGTTTGACGACATACAGCACACACTCAGAGACAAACGGTACATGCGTACCAATGGTTAAAATTATTAGCTAACACATTGGATGATTACTTTACCTTCAGTAAGCAAGTAATGTTCCCTGCAGAAAACTCTTGCAGCATTAATATCCCATCCATCGTCACAGACAAACCTCCACTGACCCATCCAACAAATCTGCACCAAACCCTCACCCTCTTTCCAAGGATAGGACTCATTTCTGAGCACCCTTGTCTCCCGCTCTTCACAAGGTGGGTCTGGTGCTATTGAAAGGCAGCTGTATCAATTTTCTTATGAGAAAGCCATTTATACACTCATAGTTATGTGATAAGGACATGGGTAGGAACGTTGGAGCAACACTAAAAATACTATGCACACAAACCTAAAGGGTGATTGTCTACCTAAAATGTGCCTGACAGGCGATTTCCACTTGCATAATAATATCCTTACCTTTGCAAATAACTTTGGCTCTTTGGTCTTTACCACAGTCATGGTTTCCTACTCCACAATGCATGCAGGCAAGCAAGGACTCTTCGCCACCCTGACAATTCACCTGAGATAGCCAGTATGTAACTTCTTCTCCTGGCTTAAACATTCCATCGATTTCTTTTTGAGCACCTGCAAAAAATTAGAATGCACTGGGGCTGAATGTAGTAGCCCTCTCTCATTGCCATAAATGTGTAGTTGCCGTGTAAATAGAAAACAAAATGTGCAGAGATTGTCTGCGTTTGTTGTAGCTGTTGTTCGGAGTAAATAGCTAATGTCCAATTGGCATGAGTTTTGCTTATAATTTATACTCTTCTCTCAATACTAAAACTCTAGATCATAATTTTATATTATAATGCTCGTGCATGAACTCCAGATTTTATAGACACTTGTGCATGCAAAAGAGACCGTACACCTAATTACACTTGACTTCTGAATCACACGGTCTCTACTAAAAGTTGGGCTACTCGCTCCCTTGCAAAAATTCAAGACAAAATTGAAGAGCTTACCAGTAAACGGAAGTCCCATTGATCTGCATGCCACTTGAGCGTCTTCGTCAGTCCATTGATCATGACATACTGATCTCGATTCATTTCTAATCTTTAAGTCAATAATTCCAGAATAAAGAGTTGTGTTTTCAACCAGCCCTATTTCAACATCATCCTTACCTGTAATGGTTTGCAAGTACAATCGTCATGTAAATCACACAATCACCATAACCATTGATACTGTGAGGTGAAAACTCAGTGCCTTCATTGTTTGGCATGCATGAGCTATTAGATGCGGACGTGTTATTAGACGCCGTTTATCAATAGGTGTTGAGGTAGGAGGAAGCATACTACCACATGTAGTTACAAATGGTTTAGTCCTTGCTGCATCTGGGGAAAATGGAGAAATACTTAATAATTTTACACTGATTCTGCATGATAAGGTTTTTAAAACTGGTCTGTATGATTGGTGAGTGAAGTGAGCCAACGTACCCTTTGGACTGTGCGTGGTTCCACAGGCTACTCATGTAGTTCCCACCCTTACCGTAATTTGATCCAAATACACACATGCACATAACTGAAACTTTGCAATCATTGCTCCATGCTCCAGTATATCTCGTATTTGCTTGCCACAAATACATTACCACTAGACTGCTAGTGTGTTAAATACAATACTATCATGCACAATGACAACCCATTACCATTAGTAGATGCTGGTGGAGAAGATGTAACTACACCAACAGATGAAGTAGTGCACAATGAGCCAGTAGTTGCAGTTGCAACAGATGGGAGTGACTTTGTATTCGAAAAACCTGCAAAAAGAGTTTTCCAACTTTATATGTAAACTGACTCTAGACTAGTTAATTGCCACAGAATTATAAAGTTACAATGGACACATTTACACTAAGTACTCTATAGTGAGTCAAACGATCATATTTTCTTCTCTCCGAGGATAATGATATTCCTAGTGATAGACTAATGGGAGCTACCTTACTAGCAGAAAGAATGGGTAATAAGCCATGATATATAGACTAGTTATCATGTTAAAATTGTGGACTACTGGTTTATTAGTAAGTGACAGGTTTAGGGGTGTAGCAGTGATATTAGTAGAGGAAGATACCACGGACGAGGAAACACTTGGAAACGACGATCAGGTGCAGAAGCCGAATTCGTGACTGAAAGAGATATAGAGCGTCTACCGACGATCTAATATGATGCACCAACATGCATATAATCTCATGAGAATTTGACAAAGCTCACAAGTGCAATTTCTTCCATCACCGATGTAGCCATCTCTGCATATGCACATGTAACTGCCTTCTATATTAATACAGTGAGCATTTTCGTCACAGTCGTCCGAACCAAGCTCTTTCTATATTAGTTTTTATCACTTTGTTAGGTATGACCAGTCTCTTTGAGTGACAGATATCTATATTACAGATGCGTACGTAGGTTATTAGACGCCGGTCTTGTTTAAGTGCAGAGTTGGTGCAGAAACACTAAAGATTTTCAGTTTAGTGTGCAATTAGGACACCAAGAGAATAAAACAGCTGCTTTATTCAACATACCCAGACAGTGGACTCCAGCCCTTTCTCTCCTACCACAGTTATGGGTGTCTTTATGTGGACAATCAAACAACGACAACTCATCACCCTTACACTGTACATCATCTAGCCAGTATTGCACTTCTTCACCATTTTGAATATTCCCCTCTTATATGCTTCAGCAGCTGAATAAAGTAGAAATCAAGAATAATATCCATTTAACTTTCCATTTTAACCCTTGCACTTATGTGCAGTGATGGTAATACTAAAGTCATTCTGTCAAAGTCTGTTGCCCCGTTTTCTGCCACCACACACAACAACTGCCTATCACTTGAAAATTACGTCCTGAATCGTGTTTACGTTATGTTGACTTTGCTCAGCGTTTACTACAGACAGTAGACTCTGCTACACGTTCAAGTGCTACGAGCAAAAATAAGTGAAGCCAGCTACCAAGGAGCCTCAAGATTCCATTTCTTTACATTCCCATTCCTTAAAAACAGGTTACTGCCTACTTGTACTCGCCAGACTGCTGCACACGGCTAAATATACAAGCTTTCTAGCTCTCAAAGATAATTAAGACTGGCGCTATTCACAAAAAGACGAAACCAGAAACTGGTTAAGATCACGCTGCCACAAAGTTTGTGTGCACGCTGGACGACAATCATACGTCATACAATACTGTCAAGAATGGCTTTGATGGGCTCAATTTGCAGACACGCATACTGTCTGACAAAAGCAAGCAAATTTCAGTTGAGAATACATTTGTATTTCATGTTGAATCTGAGAGCAAGTGATATTATACAGGTGCAATAATATGCATACCATAAGGCAAGAATCCCAGTTGTCCACAGGCTACTTTTGCATCATGATCGGTCCAATAATCATCACATACTGATCTCCATTCACAATTGCGAAGTACCTCAACCAGGCCAGACGTTTCATTACCATGAACAAGACGAATTCCTGAAATAAAGAAATGTAATGAATTGGGAAGGCTGACACAAGTCCCAAAAATTATATACATAACACAATAGTTGCAATTGAGGTCTTGAAGTCATGTTAGAGCCCGAGGGCCTTGCGTTATGGCATTCCTTTAATTTAGAATTTACATGCACTTTCTTTTGCGTGCACGGGTTGTGCGGGAAAATGGCGCCGCGGTCACTTAACCTCGATGTGAGTAACTTCTGGATTTAGTAAACACGTTTTCATGTGTGAGTGTGTACTGAGATAATAATAGCAAACCGAGCCTACGTGATTGTTTCTTCAGCTTATACGTATTAGATGATGCACCATTCACCATGTTAGTGTGCATGCACTGAGATGATGATTTTGCAGAATATTATTTTGGTGTCATTCACCATTGTAATACACCTCAACAAAGCCAGATGTCCCATTACCAGCCAGACGAATAAGTGAATCTGTGTGAAGTGAAACGCTTATAGAAGGCATGTACTGGATTGATGTTTGAAATTGCATGCATTATATATGTGCAAACTTGGTCTACCAATGATACTTTTCACTCACATATACTCCCCTCAAACAACAAAAAAAAACAGTCACATGCAAATAATTGGTAACCATGCACAAAAGGTTCCATCACCAACATATCCGTCGTTGCACACACACAAGAAACTGCCAGGAACATTGGTGCAGTTGGCATTTTCATCACAGTTGTGAGTACCTAGATCACACTCATCAATATCTGCATATTTTGTAAAAGGATAGAGTGAACCAATTCATATCCCGTCCAAGATGTGCTTGGGGGAAGTTAAGGTGTATGGTGGATGTGGTATATTAAATATTGATTCAGTAGCAAACCTAACCGTTTCCTGCTATATACTACGTATGTAATATCCCATGCTACTTCCGAACTGTTGCCTCGATCGACTACTTGTAGCTAACAGCTACCGTAATTTAGGGAAATGTCCTGTACACTAGTGCATATGATGCTACCTTCGCAGTAAGTTCCATTTCCAGTAAAACCAATTGGAGAATTATCAGGATCACATGATTCACAATAAGTTCCATTGCCGACATAGCCATACTTGCACATGCATGAGAAACTGCCTGGAGTATTGATACATTTAGCATTTTCTGCACAGTTGTGAATCTCCAGAACACACTCATTGATATCTGCAGGGAGCCACACATTAAGGGTGACATGAGAGTGACTTTTAAAAGATGTCACCTTCGCAAAAGGTTCCGTTTCCACTGTAGCCATGTTTGCATATGCAGCTGTAATTGCCATTATTGTTGACACATTCAGCCATTTCTGCACAGTTGCACACATCTGTGACAGAAAATGGACAATTTTTCACACAATGCACTTCCCAAGTATATTTAGCCTGATCCCGGGTGTCACATGGCACAGTGAGTAGGCAATGACATATATACATGCGACGCATGCGCATCCATAGCTACATACTTCCTAGGGACCTTTCAACAACTACTCTAATGCTATTAATCAACCTACAGGAGCTACAGTATTTTGATACACTTGGTAGGGTCTCTATAGTAGGCAACAAAAGTCATTGTTTCCTTCCCTGGCTCTGGCCCATTAGCCCAGCCATACAGTAACCATCCATTGTCCTGCACTAGTAAACCTCTTCTTCTGAGAGCATTAAATCAGCTGTTTTTTTAATCTTGGATACTTTATCAATTTCTCCAAGAACAATACGTTTGGTATGTTACTCCTGAGCCTTATCTTGCACTGCATTGCCAGAGTGGCTACATACTCCATTATACCACAAGAACATCCCGTCATTTTTAACCTTTTTAATGGTGGTAGCTAAGCTATATAATAATATTGCTGTGCAATAAACCTTTGCATTCCACAACTACAGCTTCTTCGTCGATGCAGTCTGCGACATCATAAGAATGTGCACACGTCAATAGAGAGTCTTCTGTTCCCAAGCACATTACACCATTCATCAGGAATGACCCAGTCACATTTAAACCTCTAGCTGGACAGCCCTTTGGTGTTTCGTCTGAGAACAGTGGCAATTGCAAAAAGATAACACTACATTTTAGTGTATGTAATACCTTCATATTCCAAGCCAAGTTGTTTGCAAACAAACTCAGCATCAAAAGTATCCCACTCATCATCACACACCAGTCTCCAAGTGGAGTTGTAGCATATACTTAGTACTCCACTTATGTTAGCATTGTGCAGTTGAAGAGCTCCATTTTCTGCACACTCTACGATAACAAAAGTAGGTAGGATCTGCTTATGAATCAGTGGGCAAAGGGTCATGCTCTTCGGCGTATATATAGCTATACGCGTGCGATACTCGCTTTGCTGGACGTGCGCCCCTGCCAGTTTGGTGGTAGGATTAATGCAGTTACCTTCATAGCTTTTAACTCCTACGAGTAAACAGATGATAAGAAAGGCGGTGAAGTTGGAAGTCATCTTGAACTCCTCCATCCATGCGCATACAATCCCGCACGCACGCGCAGATGTGGAAGAGGTCTCGCGCCTAACGCGAGAGTGGGTGCTTCCATGATCGATGGACGGCATTCGCAAATTTGTAATTTAGAAATGGGGGAGGTGTAGCTGTAGTCATTTACGGAGACAGAGATCAGTTCCCAGCACTGCCGCTGTGCTGTCACAGGGCAGAGGAGGTTGCGCACAATAAACATTCCTAAGCTCTCGGCTATAATGTAATCAAGTATCGTAGCTGTGAAAGGAAGTTGCTCTGACTGGTGTTCAGGAGGGCCAAGACCTTGCTATCTCTCGATTGTTTATATGCCGAAGTGTGTATCACGGAGAACACTCGTAGCCTCGCAAACGCGTTCTGCAGAAAGTGCTGACTCAGCGGGTTGACACGTGACGCAAGCGATGACGTGTTGGCACAACCTCCTGGTGGTCACATAGAAAACTATGGGAAAAGCCACACATTGTGTGTATGTAAACTGGATAGGGCCTGGAAAAGATTACTAGTTTAATGGTAACCATTGTTGGCGAGCGGGAGCGATCCAACCAAGAAATGTGTATACCGGTGTTGAAAGTACTTCAAAGTTTGATTGGACAATTGGCTGGTGAAGTGGCAGTACTTGCCTGCTGCATGTGACTTTGTCGGTCACGCTGCCTGGAAAAGATTATCATTCTTCTAGAGTTCCTGTGTG